ATCCGTTGAACACCGTACACGTACTGTACACAGTCTGTACAGCCTGTCTACTTGTGCCTCTGTTCTTGTCACCGACTCGATACGAACCCGCGGACACTCGCCCACTAAAATTTATCAGCTGGCCGCTCCAATTTGGAATCCAAACCTCAAGCATGGCTTGTGAACGAGACAACAGACTCTAGCTCTATTAATACGTGTAGTCCTCTAAGAGCCGCGTACAGTAAAGATACTCTTTCTATTTTTTTAATACACTTGCAGTATGCAAGTATTTAGCGCAGAGCGAGTAGCAATAGTCAATGTTAGGTGACAGATAGAACGAAGCCTACGAGCGTTAGTGGAGTGAGGAAGGCTGCTCAGCAGAGCGTATATTCCAGAATGAACAACTTTCTGTGTTGCTACATTACCTGTCTCTCCTTCTCCACACAGCAAAAACCCTTTTGGGACAAAAGCCGGTGGCACAAAACCCATTCGGGTCCAAAAGCTATCCGTGGCACTTCCTGTCATTTTATTTACTTTAAACTCTAGCCCTAGCAAGCGCACATCCAATCGGATCGTGCCATGGCATGGTTAAGAGCGACCCGCAACCTGTGAACCAGTACATCGCAACAAATACGAAGTTTAACCATTTTAACCCGAGCTTTTATTCTGTATGATACAGAGTACAAATCGTCTTATATTAAGTAAACAGCGACTCGCACCAAAATAATTCCGCTACAAGCCTTCACTTAGACACGTGAAATAATTCGTACAGAACGTAACATAAATGCCGACAAAGTGGGTAAACAGTGACAATTTATCCAACATCTGGAGCTATAACAGATTTCTATTGGCCCTGCTATCATGCAATCATCACAAGTTCCTTCCAAAAGGTATTTCTCGTTAAAACGGTTTCATAATGGCCTTTGGCGCCAAATGAAAAATGGTTGGCGCGAGCCAGAGGAAACATTTGGTCAGTTCCTAACTAACGTCTTAGTGAGAAGGACCTGGCCAAATTATTCCTGCGCTTGTTTCCGACTACGCCTCCGCGTCTGCGGTACGTTTCCTCTTTCTGAATCGAATACGACGTCGCTGCACTGGTGGGGTAGCGGTGCCATCGTTCCACGTTTGGTGCCATATTTGTGAGCATGTCAGCATGTTGCCCGTTTCAACTGGATGCAAAGCGGTACGTGCCCTCCCATTGCATCGCTACAACGCGGGCAGAACCACATGCTCTCGAACGACTTTGTCTTGGGCGGCGCAAATGCTGAACAGACCTTGCACAAATGCTGACGATGTTTGTTGTCGATGCCAGGCTTGTACAGGTCTTCGACGTTTTCAAGGATGTGCTCTTGACGCGGGACTGGAATGGAGACGAGGTCTTCTGCGATCAAATTTGTCTCGAAGTGGCTGGGCTGCAGCCCGAGCAGCTCCGTGTGCAAGCGTCGCAGGTAGTCAGCGTGGGTGGTGGTTTGATTCCTTTTTGCTTCTGTACAATTTTGTGATTAATGAAGCCATTCACCACTGCCATGTCAACTATACCCAATAATAGTTGTTTGTAGTATTTGCGGAACGCCTCACACTTCTGAATACTGTACCGCTGCAGCCTGAGCTGGTCGTGCACGTCTACCCCTCCCATTCCTTTTGCGTAGTCCACGACCAGCTCAGGGCAGGGCACAGTACTACGTGTTTCATTCTTCTCGGTGCGCTGGACGGTGGCAGGGTGTGTACTGCATCCCGTAGCAAGCATGTACACAGCCTGCGAATCCATCCAGCTCAACGCTACCAGCTCTTGATGCTGGCGAGACTTTGCAATACGATAGTGCCTCGCGCCATGTTCTGCGGACGCTGCTTCTGCTTGAATGTGATATCGTTACACCAGCCGAGACGATCTGGCCGTACCCACGTGGTACAAGCCCATTTTCAGCAACTTCAGGCTGAGTGACACAGTAGAATAAAAGCGGTCTGTCACTATCAGACGCTTGGTGGGCTGTCCACTCAGTGCCTTTGAGATATTGCGCAATACGGCCTTGGGCCCTGCCCCCAACACTTCGCCTCGTTTGGCTTTCTTTTTGTCAGCACCACAATAAATCGCCAGTCTAAAAATACAAATACATAGTACGAGTATTAGAATTTAGCTTATTCTGTACAATACAGCAGTACACATTCCGTAATATACAGCATAAGGTGACTTACCTTGCGCAGTATGCTGTCTCAGCACAACAGGTAAGGTAGAACTTTGTTTCGTACTTGCTGGGCTTGTTCGGCATGTAGACACGGACTGGATTGAACTTACTGCGGTTGGGAATCATCCTCTCATCAAAAGAAATCACCTTACCGAGGCGATATCCACGACGAAAAGTTTTCTCCACTGTTTGTAATACTGGACGAATTTTCCAAGCTCGATCTTGCGCGGCTGAACCATTAGAGCTGTCGTTGAAGTGTAGAAGTTTCATGATGACCTCAACGCGCTCACATCTCATGTAGCGAGAGAAGGTTCCCCTGGGAATCGCACCATCTTCACCTTGACGCCAATGACCAGCGAGTCCGTCGCGAATGGGGCCACAGCTCGAGCAAATAGCAGCGCTATCACATGCTCAATTTCGTGTGCTTTGATGAGTTTGAACTTCTGCAAGCC